ATACCAACAGGAGAGTTGGGACCTTTATTTGATATCCTAAAAGGTCCATCAGATCCAAATTCACCCCAAATGTTAACACCTGAAGCAAGAAAGGCATTAAAAATCATTGAAACATATATGAAAAATATGCATTTGGATAGAATTGATATAAATTTGCCTTTATTATTTATTGCACTACCAACAAAAAATATTCCTACAGGAGTATTTTGGCAAGAATGTCCATTATTATGGATACATGTATCTTAATCTCCTAACACTATTCTTACTAGGTATCCTGAGGCTGTAGGACAATTAATACTCAAAGGAATAAAAGCAGCAAAGGGAGTGTTTGGAATTTCTCCCAATAAAACTATTACTCCATATACTATGGATCAAATTGATGAGTTAGCTAATGAGTTAAATACTTGGGCAATAATCATGTGCAAATCTAAAGTTTCATTTGATAACCACTTACCATCTAATCCTTTATTGTCTTTTTGGTCATCGAATCCTGTAATTTTTCCAAAAATGACAAGAAAAACACCTATCATGAATGCTCCAAATATATTCACTGATGGGTCAAATAATGGTACAGCAGCAATAGTTACACCTGATCAAACTTTTACATTTTTAGTACCCAAACAATCAGCTCAAAAGGTAGAGCTTAATGCATTATACAAGCTTTTGTGATGTTTAAAGATTCTGTATTTAATTTATTTTCCGATAGTCAGTATATAATTAAAGCTATAGTATCCCTTGAAGATGCTGGTATTGGGAAGGGGTATATATTCCTCAAAGATAAATTTAAAATAACCCTTTTTACTCTAAACTTTTTAAATTTGGATTCATCAGGACTTAGTGCTGCAGAAAGGCAGATGTGTCCAAAAAATGTACATAAGCCCAAGGTACTTTGGAAGGATATTCTAACAGGACAATGGAAAGGTCCTGACCCAGTAATTGTCTGGAATCGGGGGTCTGTTTGTGAGTTTCCACAGGGAGAACAGCAGCCCATTTGGATTCCAGAGAGATTAACTAAAGCGATTTCTACAGACCAAAAAGAAGATGATTTGGCTCAAATCCATAATAGCTGATATCCAGAACTCCAGTTTGGCTATCCTTACATCTGTGACAGAACCAGGATGTTTTTTTCAATATCTGTTTTTTTATTGCTCTTTCCCACATCATGAAGTTCTATTTTGTTTTTTGAGCTCATACAGACCTAGGTTAATGTTTTGCTGACCAGTTCTATTTCTTGACTATAGAGTTTTTAAACATTGTAATGGAGATTTCACCTGTAAAAAGTTATAAGGCCTTTACTATTATGTTATGTGTTGTATGTATTATGTGTGCACACTTGTGTTTTGTGTTGTATGTTTGTATGTACGTATGTCCATATATCAAATATTATAAGCGCTCATGAAAAAATGGATCCAAACATTTTTTTTATTCACATGATTTAAATGGTTTAATTTAAGTTGGGTAAACAGCTGTTGAGGATTTTTTTAATATGTGAACAAAAAAGGAGGTTAACAGATCTGTTTGTTTACTTTCACCTTTCCTTTTCATTATATTTAATAATTCTGTTCAGGATAATGTAAATTGTTCCGAAAATTGTTTTCTTTTAGTGCCTGCTGGAATGTTACATAATTTTTTCTTTAGCCATTATTGCCAGAATTCCTATCTTCATCCCAGTGCCAGTGAAGACAAAGATAAAAACCAATCTACAGTTCTGCTTGCAGTACGTGCCTGGACTATGCATCACTTGTATGCATTGTGAACTCACTTGTATGCATTGTGAACTATCTGTTGGTACAGCAACTTGTGGTAGTGTTGGGGTATTTTTGCTGATGATGTCATTGGTGGTACAATTTTTCCAAAAGGAGCCGTCATTTGGCTTGGTGTATCCTCCTCCCTTCTGCTTGTGATGGTCGTTCAGCTAAAATTTGGGGGCCAACAGAGGTGAGGCAAAGAACCTCACCCCCACACACACACTGGTACAAAGGCCTATCCACAGGTGTGGCGGTACACTGGACCAGTAGTCAATGATGGGTAAGATCCAATTACAATGGTACCAACCTAAGACAGGAGGCTGACGACTTGAGGTCAGCTCATTCGATGACGGGTAAGCACAATAGGTAGAATTGGACAACCTAAGCCAGGCACAGTCCCTAAGCCACATGCTTGTTGTTTAAACAGAGAGGGGGAGATTTTGAGAGCCACAGCCTAAGGGGCCCCAGCAAACTTTTAGGTGCCAGCTGATGATTGGCTCACAGCAGCCCCAGCAAACTTCCAGCTGCCAGCTGATTGGCTCCTCTGCGGTGATGGTCATTGGGCTGTATCCCCACCCTTTCAGACCACGGAGCTGCTCATTGGGAGACTCTTTTGGCTCCGCCCACGTGAGCCAGCCAATCGGCCTGAAGAGCAGGAGGAATAGGGAGGTTGAGAGGCTTGTGGAAAGCTGGTGGTGGCAGCTGGGCTCTGAGGGAATTCCTGAAGAGCTCATCTGGTGTGGCGTGTGTGTTCTAAAAATAAAGTTCATTTCTGCTTGATAAGTGGCTCATGAATTCTGCCCAGCAAGACTGCAGCACTTGGATGCAGTTTCTACTCTTAAAAATATTTAATATTCATTTGTTTTTAAGTCTTAGGTGGACACAATATCTTTCTTACATTCCCATGGTGCTGAGGATGAAACACAGGGCCTTCGGCATGCTAGGCGAGCGCTCTACCACTGAGTCACAACCCCAGTCGCCAAAATGTGTTTTCATTGATCTGCTCTCCACGGTTTCCTCAATGCTTCCTTACCACGTGGTTATGATTTGTTTTCATTCATCTCTCTAAACAATTTTCCCTAATGTGGGACTCTAGATCTTATTTCTTAAAGAGTAAAAAGTCCAGGGTAAATGCAAAGACATCCATCTGAGGACTAGCTGGAGAGTGATCAGAGTGACCCCAACAGCAAACGCCTGTGTTGGCCATCCCCACCCTGCAACCCAGGGCTGGATCAGCTTCCTCCTTACCTAGTGCATGTCCTGGGGAGGAGCAGGGGGCTTCCCGTGGTTGTTCTTCCCTACACATATCCACACAGGCGTTGCCTCCCTCTGCAGAAAAGAAATGACGTCCTTCAGAGTTGTCAAGGTACTCCCAAAGGGGAATTGTGGAGAAAAACTCAGCAAAAGTTTTGGAAGCTCCAGCCTCTCCTGAATGGGATGCATCCCCATCTGAAAACCTCCCTGGCAGTGCCTCTGGATCACCTGGCCCGTAGGTGGACACACCCCGGGCATCCTCACCAAGGTCGAGAACCAACTTCCGTTCATTTCCTCTCCTGCGCACCTCCTTCTCTCCCCCATTCCACAGCACATTGCTGTTTCTGCCCTTGTCTCTGACCCCTAGGTCTCCAGAGGCCTGTCTCTGGATGTGCTACTATCTCCTCCTTTGTCCCTGTCTGTGTTTGCTCCCTGCTTTTTACTGTCCTTCCCATCTCACATGGATGGGCAAGATGGAGGAGTGCAAGAGGAAACAGGGCACTCGTCCTTTACCAAGAGACTCAGGCCTGGAGAAGCAGGAATTCTAGGGTCAGAAAGAAGGTGTTGGTTCCAATGGGAAGGGTTCAGTTCCTGAAAGTCATGCAGTGGAGAACTCTGGAAGGATGAGCCAGCAAGACAGGCCTGCCCTATGACGTGCGTGCTGAGAGCCACAGCGGAGTCGGTATGGTCCCTGGCATTTTGCCAACAGTATTGGTTGACAGGTGAGGCATTACTATCCACCTAGGCCGCTACTTTGGAGTTCTAGTGCTACTTTGGAGTTCTTGTGGGGATTCCCGGAGATTCCCAGAGAGTTCCCATTGGTTTTGGAAGTGCAGGAGGAAGGATTTCCGGAGGGGATATTTCTGGTTGCTGGTTCCTGGAGGAGCCACGTGGCGGTTAGCAGATTTCCCAGGAGTGTGTGTGAAGTGTGCTGGTAGAGTTCAGAAATAAAGTTTGTTCCTGCTTCAGTGGCTCGTGATTTGTGCCCAGCCAGACTACGACACATGCACCTGGGAATCTTCTGTCATCAGAGAGCAGGACCATTACTCTCATTGTGTCCCTGGGCCACTCCTCCTCTGAAGACCTTCTTCTTAGACCTCCCTTTGGAGAGGACTCTCTTCCAAAAGTCATTGTGTACACTGAGACTCTTACTTCAGTGCTCAGCCTGCCACTTCTTTCTGCCCTCCCTTGGATGCAGTTTCTAATCTTCAAAATGTGTACTTTTTAAAATCTTCATGTATTTTTAAGTTTTAGGTGGACACAATACCTTTCTTACATTCCCATGGTGCTGAGGATGGAACCCAGTGCCTTGGGCATGGTAGGCAAGTGCTCTACCACTGAGCCACAACCCCAGCCCTCAAAATGTGTGTTTTCATTGATCAACGGTTTCCTCAATGCTTCCTTGCCACGTGGTTATGATTTGCTTTCATTCATCTCTCTAAACAATTTTCCCTAATTTGGCCCTGTACATCTTATTTCTTAAAGAGCAAAAAGTCCAGGGTGAATGCAAAGATTTCCATCTGAGGACTAGCTGGAGAGTGCTCAGCGTGACCCCAACAGCAAACACCTGTGTTGGCCATCCCCACCCTGCAACCCAGGGCTGGATCAGCTTCCTTCTTACCTGGTGCATGTCCTGGGGAGGAGCAGGGGGTTTCCTGTGGTTCTTCTTCCTCATGCATACCCACATAGGCATTGCCTCCCTCTGCAGAAAAGAAATGACGTCCTTCAGAGGTGTCAAGGTACCCCCAAAGGAGAATTGTGGAGAAATACTCAGCAAAGGTTTCGGAAGCTCCAGCCTCTCCCGGGTGGGACGAATCCCCATCTGAGACCCTCCTGGTCTGTGCTTCAGGATCACCTGGCCCGAGGAGAGGGGAGGGGGGATAGTAGAGGATAGGAAAGGTAGCAGAATGCAACAGTTACTAACATGGCATTATGTAAAAATGTGGATGTGTAACCGATGTGATTCTGCAATCTATATTTGGGTAAAAATGGGAGTTCATAACCCACTTGAATCTAATGTATGAAATATGATATGTCTAGAGCTTTGTAATGTTTTGAACAACCAAAAAAAAAAAAAAGGATCACCTGGCCCATAGGTGGACACACCCTGGGCTTCCTCTTCAAGGCCAAGAACCATCTTCCTGTTCATTTTTTCTCCCGCGCACCTGCTTCTCTCCCTCATTCCACAGCACATTGCTGTCTCTGCCCTTGTCTCTGACCCCCAGGTCTCCAGAGGCCTGACTCTGGATGTGCTACTGTCTCCTCTTTGTCCCTGTCTGTGTTTGCTCCCTGGTTTTTACTGTCCTCCCCATCTCACTTGGATGGGCAAGATGGAGGAGTGCAAGAGGAAACAGGGCACTCGTCCTTTACCAAGAGACTCAGGCCTGGAGAGGCAGGAATTCTAGTGTCAGAAAGAAGGTGTTGGTTCCAATGGGAAGGGTTCAGTTCCTGAAAGTCATCCAGTGGAGAACTAGGAAGGATGAGCTGGCAAGACACGCCTGCCATATGACGTGCACCTGGGAATCTTCTGTCATCGGAGAGCAGGTGACATTGCTGGAGAGAGGACCATTACTCTCAGCGTGTCCCTGGGCCACTACTCCTGTGAAGACCTTCTTCTTAGACCTCCCTCTGGAGAGGACCCTCTTCCGCAAGTCACTGTGTACACTGTGACTCTTACTTCAGTGCTCAGCCTGCCACTTCTTTCTGCCCTCCCTTGGATGCAGTTTCCACTCTTCAAAATATGTACTTTTTAAATATTCATTTATTTTTATGTTTTAGGTGGACACAATATCTTTCTTACATTCCCATGGTGGTGAGGATGGAACCCAATGCCTTGGGCATGCTAGGTGAGTGCTCTACCACTGAACCACAACCCCAGCCCCCAAAATGTGTGTTTTGATTTATCTGCTCTCCAAGGTTTCCTCAATGCTTCCTTGCAATGTGGTTATGATTTGTTTCATTCATCTCTCTAAACAATTTTCCCTAATTTTGGTCTCTAGATCTCATATCTTAAAGAGCATTAAGTCCAGGGTGAATGCAAAGATTTCCATCTGAGGACTAGCTGGAGAGTGCTCAGCATGAAGCCAACAGCAAACGCCTGTGTTGGCCCTCCCCACCCTGCAACCCAGGACTGGATCAGCTTCCTCCTTACCTGGTGCATGTCCTGGGGAGGAGCAGGGGGCTTCCTGTGGTTCTTCTTCCTCATGCATATCCACATAGGCATTGCCTCCCTCTGCAGAAAGAAATGATGTCCTTCAGAGGTGTCAAGGTACCCCCATAGGAGAATTATGGAGAAAGACTCAGCAAGGGTTTCGGAAGCTGCAGCCTCTCCTGGGTGGGACGAATCCCCATCTGAGACCCTCCTGGTCTGTGCTTCAGAGGAATTTTGGAGAAAAGCTCAGCAAAGTTGTGGGAAGCTCCATCCTCTCCTGGGTGGGGCCTCCCTCTTGGTCTCTCACTTCCTCCTTTTCCACCTGTGTTTCTTTTACCGTGACCTCCTGGATGCCTGGATTATTTCTATGATTTTCTATATTTGCCTCATCTTGAAGCTCTCTTCTCCCAGGTTGACAAAAGCCCTTTCGTTTTCACAAGATCCAGAACACCAGGGACCCTGCCCTCATCAAATGCTCCCCAACACGAGTTTCTTAAATTGCAAGACTTCTACTGCTGCCAAAACACAGGTCCATGCGCCTTGTGTTTCCAGAAGGAGCTGAAGCCATGTCCCCTCCTCACCTGTCACGACCTGCTGATACTTGGGTTTGGGGTGCACTTTGTTCTATCACCCTGGCACTTGTTCCTTGGTGCTCAGCTTTACTTTGACACTCATTGCCCTAAGTCCTCAGCACAGGGGCCGTCTCCCCTCAGGACGTCCCAGGCTTTATCCCTTATCTCTCGAAGTTTTGAAACAAAAGAAGATGGATACAATTCCACCTCACCTTTGCAAAAATGAAGAGGAGACAGGCAGGAAGGGGCGCGGAGATGTGTTCCACACAGACTAGAAAGCAGAGATCTATTGAGGTCACTGGGAACCCATGTCCTCGGGGCCCTGTTCCTCACCTGCTTGCGGAGGAAAAGCCTCCTGTGGTTCTCCTCCTCCTCTGGGAGTCTCAAGGGGAGTTTGGGGATCGAAGGGCTCTGTAAAGAACAAGGAAATGATGAACCTGGGGGGACGTGGCCTGAAAACACCCCAGTGTGCTGGCACCACCTGTGAGGGGCACCACAGGCTAAGGGCCTCCGTCGGAATCCACCTCTTTCCCGTCTCAACGACTCTCCTCCCCTCTCCCTCTGGCTGTGTGGTTCTACCCACTCATCCTCTCTCCTTCCCAGCTGTGGTTCTCTTCAACTGTCAGACTGCTCTTCCTCTGGCTCCTCCCATCTCTTGTTTCTTTATATTTTCTTTTGGGGACACTATATCTTGTCCTGTTGTCTGGTCAGCTGTCTGGTGCTGGACCTCAGCTCTCCTAGTGGGTGGCTCCAGTCCTGTGCTCTCTGCACTTAGAATTTTCTCCCCCTCCCACCAACATTATTTTACTTTTTCTTCAAAGTCTTTTTTTTTTAATATGTCTATTTTTAAGTTGTGGATGAACCTTCATTTTTATTTACTTATTTTTATGTGGTTCTGAGAATCGAACCCAGTGCCTCACACGTGCTAGGAAAGCGCTCTGCCGCTGAGCCAAAACCCCACCCCTATTTATTTATTCTTATTGATACATGCATACATAAAATTTTTACATGCAATGGGGTAGCAGGCAGTGTTCAAGGCAGGTATACACTGCATCATGTTTCAGCCAAGTTAAACAGATTTATCTCCCCCAGACATTTATCATTTCTTTATGGTGAAACCTTTCAAACAACTTTCTTCTAGCTTTTTGAACTGCACTGTGCATTGTAATGACGGTTAGCACACGGGGCACGGTCACACCAGAGCTTCTTGTTCCTATTTAACTGCAACTTATTTAACTGTACAGTCTCACACGGGGCCCTGGTCCATTCTGGAACCGGAGCTTCCTCTTTCTATTCTGACTGCATGACAGGCCCCTGACACCCAGTACCATCCCAGGATGCTGTGCCTGCTCTTCTTCTTCTACCCCACCCTTACAAAAATAACCTGCACACATGTCTGTGCCTGATTTTTCCATCTGTAAGAGAGAGGCTTCAACGGTATGCATGCCTACGTCTGAAGCTTTTGTGAGGGGAAAGGGGGGTCTTGCATGACTCAGCTCTCTGATGGGGATTGTCAGAAATCCCACCCAGCTTCTCTCCACCCCTTGTTCTCATTCTCGTTTTCACCCCTTCCATTTGTCTCTGCCTCTTCTCCTTCCTCCTCTGGCCTTGCTGATGAGGTCCACTGGGACCACCCTTCTCTGGCTTCGTTTCTTTCCCGTGTTCGTTCCCAGTTCCTTTCTTCCCTGATGCTGGGCTTTGTGCTCTTTCCCCATCTCTCATCCTATTGCTCTCTAGAACTAGGGATGAGAAAAGACGTCTCGGAGATGGTCATGCCACCTCACAGGATTTCACCAGATTTGGGAGCAGGATGGAGGGTGGGAGGGGCCAAGAAGATGCGTCCAGGTGCAAGGCTAAGCATGTGCAGAGGCTCAGAGGGGAAGGGGGAACCGGAAAATCAAAATCACTCCAGAAGTCCCATTCACCCTGAAGTAAGAGCAGGAGAGGCAGACATGAAGCTGGAGATTTGGGGAGGAAAATGGATTTAGCCTTTATGACAGCAAGAAGTCATTGGCCTCAAGCAGGAAAGCAAGGTTATGCCAACTCACATTTTTCTTAGAGTCCTCTCAAGGGATTCCACAAAATGCATGTGATGGGGCAAGACAGGAGGGGAAATCTGAGCCTGGAAGTCGTTTCTATAATCTCAGAGAGAAGGGGGAAATGTTGACTAGGGTTTCTGTGTTGGTGATGGAAAGCAATGACTGGTGGGAGGTATGTGAAAGGTAGAATCAACCAAACTGGATGGTCTAAGTTGAGGGAGAGGGACCAGTCTTTAAGAACTGCCAGGTTGACAATGGAGAAATAGCGTGCTGACAGCGAACTCCCAGACACGAGGCAGGTCCGGTCGGTGTCAGGAAGGGTTGCAGGTGCGATTTTAGTTATGTCTCATACTGAGGCTCCTGAAAAGCATCTAAATGCAGACGACTCTCAGATTATCTGCATGAATGAATTCAGGCTCATGGATGAAGGAGGCTGGAAGACAAGCCAGGAGATGTGTCTTGGGATCATTCGCTTGTAGGCGGGAGTAGATAAGGACGCCTGGGGAAGGCCCATTGCCTCTGAATGTATTGTGTCACGTTAATAGCTGAAAACTCTCTGCTAAAGTGATCATCCTTGTGCCAGAAGTTCTGTCCAGTGACTTTCAAGCCCCAAGATGTCTCCAACTGTCTTTTATGGTGTGCAATGTTCCCTTTCTGCTGACTTTTCATTCATTCATTCCCCATTACCATAGACAGCAGGCGCCCTCCCCCTCAGGCCCTGTCTTAGCAGTCTCCCCCTCTGGTTCTCCCTTAGTATGACTTTCTCCACCTTGGAAACGCTGCACCTTGTTGGATGAGTGAGCTTATCTCCTGGGGAAATGAAACTTAAATATAAACATTCACCTTCAGTCTTTCTGTCTTATCTTTCTCCCATGTCATCAAAGGCCTCATCTTTTTGCCATTGACACTGGAGCAGAGACCCTTCCCCTTACCAGGTCCACTTCAAAAGTCTTTCACAAGAATTTTTTACATTGCAGTTGTACTCATTATGTCCAAGTTCCTGGCACAACCACAGAAAGTAGAGTGGAAATTATCTCCTTCCCTGACAACGTGCACTCCAACATGGTGACAGATGAGTTGCATGACTGCTTAGGTAAAATTGGCAATCACTTGGGAATTTATTTAATGGTTCTGTCTGCATTTTCCATTCTCCCTCTCTTCATGTTCTATACACAAGAAAACCTCACCAAGTCTGAACTCCTCCTCCTTATGTGTTTGTGCCTTCTTACAAAAGCAGCCAAAATCTGGGCCTGGTTTGTCTGCCTGTACACAGGGGGTGTAAGGAGAGTGAATGGATGAATTGATAGATGGATGGATGGTGAATGGATGAATGGATGGATAGATGGATGGATGGATTGGTGGATGGATGGATGGATTAGTGGATGGATGGATTGGTGGATGGATGGATGGATGAATGGATGGATGGATAAATGGATGAATGGATTGGTGGATGGATGGATGGATGGATGGATTAGTGGATGGATGGATTGGTGGATGGATGGAT